CAAAATTACCCTGCTAAAATTTCTCTCAATTCCCTTCAACTACCAAACTCACCAAAGCTCTTTCTTCTTTTGAAAGTTAGTAACTTCTTCATTAGAACTTACTAATCTTTGAGCTAAAACCTTCATCCAATTACTTTTTCATCATCAATTTCAATAGATCAAGGCTTTGGAGTATTGTTCTTGAAGTTAATTTGAAGCAATTTCAGATTTGAAGTGGTAAACCCTCATTCCACCATTGTTGTTCTTGATCCATCTTCCACAATGTGATTTATTGTTGATTCTTGTTACTTGATCTTTGGATCTTGCAAATTGTGTTTTATTGGTGGTATTTACTGTTGTTTTACTTAAATTTTCGTGATAATTCTCATTCATGATCATGAGGTGTTTGAAGAAATGGTTGGATCATGAATGCTGAATTTTTTTCAAAATTTTTTGTTGTCTTAGCAGTGTTAATCGATTAACACATTCGCACATGCAAATGGTTAATCGATTAACCAGTGTCCAGAATGTGTTCTTTGCTTTTTTGGGACTGTTTTGGTTCTTTCCTCTTCTTCTTCCATTTTCTTTTGAATTTTTCCTTGGTTTGCACTTTTAAAGGTCCTATTCCTCTTTAAATTCAATGGACTTAGGGTGTAGATGAAGTTGTATAAACATTCACTAATTCAAATCTATCTTTAAAGTGAACTGTTCAATTTATTTTAGGTGCTTTGAGTTAATGATATGTTTAGTGCTTTAATCCACCAAGATGAGTGGTTGAACTTAAAGATGGAAGGATTTTAGAATTGTGATTCAATTTGGTTTTCCCCTCTCCTCTTCATCTTTTTATTTTGATCGATGAAAATATTCGATATCATTGAAACTTGTTTCAAATTCTTGATGAAAATGAGATTGTTACCTATTTTCTTTTTGTGCGGTATTGCTTTCGGAGAGTGACCTACATATCACTTCTCTAGCATGCATTAGCACTAACATTTTTATTGACCGACATCAAATAGTCGTGGCTTGTACGTAAGCCCGATTACGATTGCTTAGCATAACGCTAAATTGTCCCGTATCAGGAAATGATCATTTGTGGCTCAAACTTATGTTTGAAAGTCCAAGTATGGTTAATTATTTGTCTTAGGTCCATTACTTATGAAACTTGTTGTTAGGAGGTTTTGATTTTATCAATCCTCCAATGAGTCTTCATTAACTTTAGCCTAAGTTCATTATTTGATCATCGTTGATCATTTGTTCTAACAACTAATCACTAACTCATTAACAATATTATTATACTAATTTTGTTTATGTTTCTTTCTCGCTCCCTATCTTTTTTATTTTTTATTATTTATGTTATCATATCATATCATATTATTGTTTATACTTCCGCCATTTTTCTTTTGTCCACTTGGACCATTTGTTTATATTTACGCACTTTTTCTTTTGTCCATTTGCACCAAAAACATTAATAAAGGCTTAAACTCCTAAAAAACGTAATCTCATAATGGTGGACTGTGGTTACTATCCTTTGCATTAGACATGAAGTTTTAGACCTAGAATTAGGATCTTAACGTATGCTTGGAAGTTTGTGATGTTAAACTTTGGATGTTTGGGTACTTGAAGTTCTCTTTTGAAGACCTATCTTGATCAAGGCCTAATCTAAAGGAATGGATGCTTATGTTATGAAGCTTACTTGTGTGGTTAGATTGTTCTTATCCTTAGCTTTTATCTTTATGCAGTAGGATAGTCCCTTCTTCTCCACCCCTTCTTTAATTTTTAAAATCTTCTCCCTTTTTCAAAACCTTCTTATTTTCAAAACTTAAACCTCTTTCATAAAATACCATGACTTTTGTCCAGTGATTTTCAAACTTTGTTTTCTTTAATCAATGTTAATCATATTCTGACCAATTTCAAAAATACATAAAAATACAAAAACTCACTCAAACTTTTTGTGCCTTTGTGCACTTTTCATTTAAAACTTTTCATAAAGTTTAGACATGAGTCATTTTCATAGTTGAGATGTAATTCTCCTATTCTCCATAGTATTTAAGATGTTAACATTTTTCACTTAGATGTTGAGTGATAGACTTGTTGATTTTAATCCAAGCAAAATCCTCCATCTTTAGGTGATACAAATGTTGTTTTATACTTATGGGCGACTAGTCTTAGTTTTTTCCTTAAAATGACGACTTGTCTTTACATTTAAAATCAATCATAACAAACCTTTTTTTGTTACGTTTTGATCCTATATTGCTTTTTGTAGGTACGCATGCATGAGGCGATAAGTCTCTTAAAACACAAAAATCTTAAAAAAAAATATTTCTCTTCTCATCTTCCCAATCTCCTTTCAAACCAAAAGCTTAGATTTTTCAAAGGGTTTCTATGGACCACTATAGACGTTTTTGGGTGCTAACACCTTCCCTTTGCGTAACCAACCCCCTTACCCATTCTCTATTTATTCGCTCTTTTTCCTTTCCTTTTGGATAAAAATAAAAATGTGGTGGCAACTCTTTCTTTATGAGTTAAGTTAATCAATAGCTTACACTCACAAATCTTCCTGCTACAAAAGCACCTCTAAGTTCCTTGAAATCTTGAGAAAAAGGCTCATGAATGCATGAGTGCATGTATGTAGCAACCACAAACAAGATCACACAAAACACACGGGTTCAAAGGTTCGGCGCGAGCATGGAGTCAAGGGTGAGAACAAACCCAAAATGGTATTGTCGCGGCCAGCAAAAATGATAGAGTCGCCATCACGCTTTATTTTTTCTAAGGACAGGAAAATAATGAGAAAACCTAATCTCTAAGTGTGAGACACTAAGGTTCGGAAGTCGGTTAGGCGAGAGGAAGGTGTTAGGCACCCCTCACCTCTATTGTACTCAATGGGATCCTCCTTAAGTTTTAGGATATGTTTACTTGTTACTTGAGTGTTTGACTATTTATTCTATTTACAAAAATCCTTATTATTAGGCAGAAGAAATGATTTAAGTATAAGAGGGGAACTCTAAGGTTTTTTATTATTATTGTACTCGTTAGGATTTACAACCCTATGCTTATGTACCCTCAATTTTGAAGGATCAGAGTTTCCGTAGTTCATCTCCCATATCCCCTACTTGGTTGGTGTTTTTTATCCCTTACCCCTTTATGTTTAAGTTGTAATTATTCCGACATTTTGGAATCCCTTATCTCTTATATCCTAGTCCTTTATTTATACTCTCAGATTTTTAAAGTTTTATCCCAAAATTTATATCCCATTATTTTATCTTATATCCGTAGTCCTATATTTATACTCTTGAATCTTAAGAGTTTTATCCCATATCCTTAGTCCTATATTTATACTCTTGGATCTAAAGAGTTTTATCCCTTATCCCTAGTTATATGTTTATACTCTCGGATTCTAAGAATTTTATCCCAAAATTGTATCTCATATCTATCCCATAATTTATCTCATTTTTAATCCAAAACATTGTATCCCTTATCCCCTATTTTATTTAAAAAAATATCACTTTAATTTATTTAAAAAAATAAATTAATTGTAAAAATTTCATGTTTTATCAATACTAATTTTTGTACTCTCTGAACTATAAGAGTTTTATTCCAAAATTGTATCTCATTTCTATGTCATAATTTATCTCATTTTATTCTTAATATTTCATCGCTAATATTTTATCCCTAAATATTTTATCTCCAATATACTTGCAAAAGCGTAGTATTCAATTTATTTTAGAATATAAATTAAATGATTAGTTAAACTCTTAACCCTTATATTCCTTATTTTATCTCCAATTTTTATCTCAAAATTATCCCATTTTTATCACAAAATTTATCCCAAAATTATCCTAAAATTTATCCCAATTATCTCTTAGATTATTCCAAATTATCCATTTGATTAATATCCCATAATTATCACTATATTTGTTATTTATTATATTATTTATATTATCCCAAATTAATCCGTAATTTCAACACTTTTAACTGTTCTAAAATTAATCCCAATCATTAATTTTAATTCCAAATTATATTTTGACGTTGACTATAATTATTCACATGATTATCTCATTATCTTTACATTATTAATCCATTTATTATATTAATTAAACCCCAAAAATATTATTAAATTAAATCATATTCCTAATTAATAATTATTATAAAAATGTTGTTTAATCCTAATTATATTCTATTAAGTATCTAATACTAAATAATAATTCTAATTAATAATTAAAATAGAAAACACTCACTCACTTATTTGTTTTTTTTTTTACTATTTTTTGAATATTTAGTTATTTTGATTTTTTTTAGAAACTACAGTATTCTAATTCAAAGCCTAATTAAAATAATCCCATATTAACCTAATTAATCCTAAATTATTTTGAAATTAAATGCTAAAACTAAAGAAATTTAAATAAAGTTAAACTAACTAAAGTAACCTAATGAAAATAGAAAGGAACGTCCTTTTATGTTTTTGTATATTTTAATTAAATCATTAATTAAATTAAACCTAATAAAATTGGAAAAACTTATTTTTGGTTTTTTATACTCTTATAATTAGAAAACTTAATTAACAGACCCTAATCAAAATTAACCTAATATCAATTTACTTGAAATTAAACCCTATCAAAAAGAGACTAAACTAAAACCCATGAGTCAAATGAAGGGGTTTAAGATGTTATAGTAATGACTAGTGGGCTTATACTAACTAGTAAACTAGCCCAAAGATAACATCCTTTGACCTAAATCACCCATTAATATTAATAACTAGTAAAGAAAATAAAAATTAAATTCATTAATTTCAGCTTCAGCCCTACCGGTGAATGTAAGCATATTCAACTTTTCCAGTTTGAAAATAACATGACAGCCACACACATGAACCTTTTAGATAAAGTAGGAAAAAAGCCACAGAGTGAAAATACATAAATCAATTGAGTTCATCTTTTTCTTCAGCTCCCGTTCACTCTCCATTTTGTAATTGATTTTCAAACAGCAACAAAGAGAGTTTTAAAAGAGTCACCTGAAATTGAAGGTTAGAAATGAAACATTCGCGTGAGGAAGGGTGTCGCCGTCGGAATGTGCAGCGGCTTCCGACGAACGAAAGACAACGGGGTGATTGGCTGTGCACGACGTGATGAGGTTAGTTGATTTCCGCCGTGGTTGACGGCGGTAGTATCCGGAAGTAGCAGTGGCTGATGGGGAGGGCGCGCGGTCGACTGTGCATCAATTTCACGAGCTTCGTCGGAGTACGTTTTATTTTTGTCAATTTCAGTTTTGAAACGTTTGAGTTGTTGTACTGAACTGTAAAATTTAGTATTGAACTCGGAAGAAAGTATGGTGCTTTCTTTTCCAATCTGAACTTCTAATTTCTTTTGATGCATTACATTAAGCTTCAAACTCATTCTTTTGATACGATATTATAACAAAATAACATACTCCATCACTAGGGTGTGCAAAATAACTAATAACCATAAATCAAATTCCTATCTAAATTAATCCAAATTTTAAAATACAAATCAAATTTATATTTTAAATTTGGTGGCCCATTTATCAAATTAAAAAAAATCCGGTAACCATTTTTTTCAAACCGGTTTGAGATTTGGTAACCATTTTTCAATTTTGGAAAAATCAAGATCAACACAAATTTCAAAAACCTTAATCCTTACAATCTAAATTTTATTCATCTCTTTCTTGTTCATCATTCTTTAAATTTCAAACTTTAATCTCATTTGTATCTTAATTCTCTAAAACACAATCATGGATTTATCGAAATAATTCTGTGACGGAGGAAGTTGCGGACAAACGTTAAGTAACGGCGGAGGACGGTTAGTGATATAACGTAACAGCGGACGGACGTTAAGTAACGGCGGAGGACAGCGTAGGTGAGCCCGTTAGTTTTTGAACATTTTCTATACTGTTATAATTTTAAACTCTCAGTTGTTATGCTTGCATACCAGATGTTCGATCTATTTTCATTATATTAGTTGTTAGAATTTAGATTAAACATGTTATTAGAGAGTGATTTTTAGAAATGCTGATGCAGATATGGTTTTGTTTTCTTGCTTTTGTTTACCACAATCATGGTCATATCATGTTTTGGAAGCTAGTTGTAAATTTGAAGTTGCTAATGTGGTTAGTGTGGGTTTGTTTCCGGCTAGAGATTCTCATGTTCATTGGCCATTGGTTTCAATATATTACATGATATTTATCAACTGTGATTGTTTGGTTTTAAGTATGCATTAGATTCATTCTGTCAAGGTTATGATTATTATGGTTAATTGGTTTTAAAATTCGTTTTTTTTTATAAAATTGGTTTTAAAATTGATTTCTTTAAAGAAAATAAAAAAATTGGTTTTGAGAGAAACCGGTTTAAAATTGATTTTTAAAAAAACTGTTTTTTTCTTTAAAAACCGGTTTGAAACCAAACCGATCCACTTGTAAACCGGTTTTAAAAAAATAAACCGGTTTTATATAAATGGTTTTAAGATTCAAACCAAACCATATATGTGGTTTGGTTTGATTTGATTTATAATCCATGCACACCCCTATCCATCACTCTGAGATGGAATATTTTTTTCCGATAAAAATCAATAAATCTATACTTTAATATTTAAATACAAAATATTAACATCTTAAATACAATGGAAAATAAGAGAATTATATCTTAACTATAGAAATTATTCATGTTTAAATTTTTTTAAAAAAATTAAATAAAAAAGTGCACGAAAGCACAAAAAGTTTGAATGAAATTAAATATTTTTTTATGTCTTTTAGAAATTAGTCAAAATATAGTTAACATTTATTAAAGAAAAGATTTTTAAAATGCACTTGAATAAAAGTCAAAGTTTTTTATTAAATATATTTGATTTTGAAAACAAGAAGCTTTTGAAAAGAGAAAATTTTGAAAATTGAAAAAGGGGAGGAGATAAAGTGACTACCCTAGAACATAAAATAAGAGCTAGAGAATGGATGATCTAACCACACAAGTAGCAAACACTTGATAAGAAGTCAACATAAGCAATCCTCTTCCTTTTGGATTTAAACCACAAGCATAATAATAAGATGAAATAAAACATCAGAGAAAATCCCAAGTTAAGCCATAGCAAAGTCAAAGTAAGGTCTTTCCAAGGTTTAAAAGTCAATTAGGAGAGTAATCTATCAAATGATTTTCATAATGTCAAAGTATCAACACCTGCACACAGAAAATTTCCCAACAAACAGACAAAAACAACACAAAAATCCAAGGCCTCAAATCTCCAAGAACATAGGGTAAAGGTCCTGGATCTAAGTTTGAAGTCCAAAGTCCAAGCATAAGGTCATAACATTCTGGATTTAAGAGAACCAAGTTTTTTAAGTGTTTTGTTATTTATTAGTGTCTTAAGAGAGGTATGGTCCAAGTAGACAAAATAAAAATAACAAAAGCATAAACAAAAGGTCCAAGTGGACAAAGAGAAAATAAGATGATAATAATATGAAATGTTAAAAGTAAAAGCATAAAAAATAAATGGCAAGAAAGTAAGGAGCAAAAATTAAATGGCATAAAGTAAAATTAGTGCATTATAGTTAGTGTGTTAGTGTTAGAGAATATTTTGTCGTTTTTCCGGAGAATACTCAACTAATCAACCATAAGCATGAAAACATGAATCTATACATCATTAAGAGAAGGACACCAACTCGGATAAAATCGACGAGTATGTCAACTAACTCCCTTAAATGACAAAGAGACAATCTATTTCACACCACACTATGGATAGTAGAAGATTGATAACTCACTGTCATACCCTAAATTTGTCCTACTTTCCTCAATGTTCTCTTTGTAAGATCATCTGACATTTGGCCATGATCTTCTGAGATTTAGGTCATAGGATCGCGTGCGTGTTTATTAACAAGCTTGTGTAGGTGCATTAAATTCAAGTGGAGATGATACTCACTTGTATGATCCAACATATCAGGGCATAATGAGTTGGTGATAGGCCTAGTATTTCGAATAGATTTTGGGCTATGATTTCCCAAGTGTTCTCAGGATGGCTTTAGGGCTAATACCTTGTGTCGGGGACTATGTACAAAATTGTTTCAAAGTATTGCCACTAGATGGTTCATTAGGCCGTTCTCTAGGTGGTTTTAAATCTGTGCAGGATCAATTCCTCTAGTAAATGTCATTTCTCAAGAATGTGATTCAAGATCATCCAATCTAAATTCATCTAATTGGAAATATTCAAGTACAAGCAAGATGTCGAAGTGAAGATGTCTTTTAATTCCCTTTCAAAAATGATGAAAAGTTTAATATAGAATTCAGACCAAGGGATCAAATTTATCAAGATATAAATTGATTCAAGATGACTTCAAGTTTCATTCATGGTTTACTCATACTCCAAATTTTCAAATTATAGACCATTCATTCAAGTTACAAGAGTAAAACGATTCTCATGAGATTTTAATTAAATTCTGATCTGTATCCAAAGTTCAAGTTTGAGTTATCATTTTGAGATTCAAACTTCGCCTTGAAAAATTATATCATTCAAGAAAACGAATTTCAAGTCCAATGCAATTCCAATCTTGAGAAAATCAATGGCAAGAGGTGATTCGTGATTTTGTTGAAGGCGAAAGGCATATGATCTTTTCAATTAGTAGAACTACTATTGTCATTGGCATGAATTGAGCAAGATAGGTTTATGCCTTGAGACTTGACATACTACATGGGTCACAAGATAATGTGCATTGATGGTTTTAAGTTGTAACACTTTACATAAAGCAAGATGCAAATGTTGAACCATGATAGAGAATGGCAATGGAGAGTGGTTATATGGATATGGTTTGAGTCTCCCTATCTAGAGAAAACAAATTGCTTCAAGTAAGATAGAACCAAGACCATCTATATGGACATTAGTTATTGCTATGATAAGCGCATAATTGGGTGAGGGAAAAGCCTCGTATACTATACATGTGTGTTTCAATGATGTCAAAACGCAACCGCATGGTAGAATTGACATTTGACATTCTCACCATAAGGCATAAGCATACCTTATATTTTATGTCTCATTTGCTTGCATATTGTGTCATCAAATTAGCGTCATACGAGTCAAACATCATTGATGTATTGTAAGTTGCACCTAGAAGAGTCAAAAACATAAAATTAGACATTTTTGCAAAATACAGGTCTTTGAGTCGACCATACCTCTGCTCCGGTCGACTCATAGAAGGTGTCTCTAAAGTTTATTTTCCACGGGTTGGTGCACGTCGACCTACCGGTCGACGCATACTGCTGTTATTTCCATTTGTCAAAAAATGCAGGCCTTGCATAGACGCATGATCCTATTTCGGTCGACGTATAGTGTTATTTTCTGCATAATTTGTTTTCACATGTTAAGCTTTGGTCGACCGTTGCTTTCTGCATAGGTCGACCGTTCGTTGTTTGTTGCATAATTTGTGGTCTGTCTACCTCTTTTGAAAAGTAGTTTTGTCAGTTATTCTTGATCTTATATAAATAGAAAGTTGTTCATTTTTCTTCACATACAATTGAATCAATTTCAAAACAAGAAAAGTGAAAGAGGTGTCATTAGTTCTCATCATCTTCATCTTCTACATTTTATACTACAACAAATCACACACAATAATCTTTGTTGTGTATTATGGATTGTTTGAAGTGATAACTTTCGAAGCCGTTGATTGGGAATTCGGTTCGGGTTGAGATTTTGGCAGGTTTTTCTTGAATAAAACCTTGAGGGTTTTGTCCTCCAAGATTCGCTGAATTTGGGGGTTTTTGGTACGAATCTTCTCAACATACATTCAGCTGAGCGAAGGTGATCGAGGAGCGGTGGGTTCCGTCGATCTAGTTGCGGTAATCGGTGAATTGTGAAGGAGAGGTTCAGGTTCGATTGGCAAGTGTTTGATATCAGCCGGGATGGGGTTTGAAAATGCAAGGTTGTTGAACCAAGGAGTTGTAATCGGAGGTTCATACACAAGCAATCGAAGGACTTGATTCGACTCGAATCAAGGGACAAGAAGAGAAAACATCTTCAACAACAAGGGAGTTTGTTTGTGCATTTGCTTGTCTATTCTTGTATAAACGATTCAACAACAGGTTACATTTATATTATACGAGCTCAATTCTATTGTTGGAATTGAGGGCAGATGTACCCCGAAGCGAGGACGGCGGGGGAACTGCCTCAACAAATCTTTGTGTCTTTTACTTTACACATTTTCATTTTGCTTAATATTTGCGTGATTTTCGTACAAACAATTTTATCAAATTAAGGGCTGTTTTGAGTAAGTGCTGAAGCAATTTTGACTCTAGTAAAATAGTTTATTGTACAAGGAAACTATAGCTATTTAATCAAAGCCAAACTCACTTGGAATGCTTCGCACGCCAAGTGTTTGATAAATTATCTGAACCAAAATTCTC